CCGAGAATAATACGAATAGATGACATCTTTACCACTCGGAGAATATATCTCTTCAAAATCAATACCTCTTTTCCGATCGAAACCCTTCACCACTAATCTTGCTTTGAATCTAGGATGTGTGGCGTATTCTTCATGCTTGATTCTAAACACCCATTTGTTTTTCAAAGCTCTTCTACCATTGGGTATTCTTACCAATTCAAAGGTATTGTTCTCATGTAAAGACTTCATCTCATCATTCATGGCTTCAATCTACTTCTTTTTATTCTCATCTTCTATTGCTTCTTTGTAGGATTCGGGTTCTCCACTCGTCAATCAACAACACATAATCATCGGTAGAGTACCTAGTAGAAGGTCTTCGATCTCTGTTAGATCGTCCGAAGGTTTCGATGAAATAGGTTCATCATCCTGTTCAACTATCTGATCATGTTCATCACTTGATGTATCATCATGAATCCGATCGTTGTCTTGCGGATCATCATCATTCCGTACTCCTCGCTTCCGTCCGTGAACCATTTTGCATATCATGCTCAATCGGCTCGACCTGCGGTGCGGAATGAATTGGCTCAATCGGCTCTATATCTATCGGATCATCATAAGACTCGATCCATTGTCTGCTCTCGTCTTCTCAATATCTTGAATGGTCCGATCCTCCGGAAATACAACATCACGACTTCGACTATCTTCTTTTCAATCTGGATCATACAGTTTATAGCCAAACTCATCTTGACCATACCCTAAGAAGATACACCGTCTTGTCTTCACATCAAGCTTAGATCTCTCATCTTTAGGAACATGCACAAATGCCTTACACCCAAAAACTTTTAAGTGATCATAGGATACATCTTTGCCACTCCAAACCCCGTCCGGAACATCAAATGACAAAGGCACACAAGGTGAAAGATTTATTAAATAAATAACATTATTTAATGCCTCACCCCAAGATGACTTAGGCGATCATGCATGAGAAAGCAAGTATCCGACTCTCTCAACTAAAGTCCTATTCATCCTTTCGACCAACCCGTTCAACCGAGTTGTCTTTGATGGAGTCTTTTGATGCTTAATACCTCGAGTCCTGCGAGTACTCATCAAAAGGGCCTCGAATATTCATCACCATTATCAGTTCGGATACATTTAAGCTTCCTCCTTGTTTGTCTTTCTACCAAAGCCCGAAACCGCTTGAAAACACCAAGAACTTGATCTTTCGATCTCAATGTATAAACCCATACCTTCCTTGAGTAATCATCTATAAATGTCACAAAGTAGTAGGAACCTCCTTTTGACATTGTCTTCATAGGACCACACACATCCGAATATACTAACTCGAGGGGATTCTGTTTCCTTGTAGATGGACAGCTCCTAAAGGAAACTCGTTCGTTTTCCAGCCAAGCAATACGGACACTTCTTCGAGTGATTATCCCGCATATCGGATAACAAATTTTTCTTTTTCAACACTGCTATGCCTTTCTCGATCATATGAGCCAATCTCTTATGCCATAGTTCGATAGCTTCCTCACCTCGACAACGTTCACATCATCATTCAATAATTTAGCATGTATGACATATAAAGAGGAACACTTCTCTCCTTTTGCCACTACCATAGAACCCTTGGACGACTTCCACATATCATTTTTGAATGTGTCACAAAACCCTTCATCATCAAGTCTTCCAACCGAAATTAAATTCAAGCGAAAGTTAGAAACATGTTTCACATTTTTCGAACCGGCTTTACTCCAGTATGTGTCTTTAAGCACACATCTCCAATACCAAGCAATTTTGGATAACCCATTATTGCCAACCCTTACCGCCCCAAAATCGCCGAGTGTGTATGAGCTAAAAAACTCCATGTGAGATGTAGCATGTATCGAAGCTCCACTGTCAATCACCCAACTATGCTCATCCGATGCTATGTTGACTTCATCGACATCATATGCGATCGGAAACTCATCGATTGCATTTACTCGATCTTCATCGACATCACCGCCATTCCGCTTGGTTTTGTTCTTCTTGTTGTCTTTCTTCAATTTTCGACAATATTTCTTGATGTGACCCATATCACCACAATGATAACACTCCACATTTACAAACTTGCCCCTAGACTTGCTTCTACTATTGCCTCTGCCTTTTGGACCTTTACTCTTACTCCTCCCCCTTTCTACGAGTAACTAGCACATCGATCGGGAAGAAGAATTTTGAGTCTTCCTTCCGACCTCTTCATTGAGAATCCCATTTCTAGTATAGGTCAAGGTCATCTTTCCATCGGGAGCGAATTACAATGTGATGTACGAAATGTCTCCCAAGAATCCGGTAATGAGCCAAGCAAATACAACCCAAGGACCTCATCATCAATTTCTATTTTCATGGCATTCATTTACTAAACAATTCCCACATACTCATTAATGTGATCGACTATCGAAGTGCTCTCTTTATACTTACAATTCATCCATCGCTTGATCAAGTACATCTTGTTATTCTCTCGTTTCTTTGGCAAAGAGATCTTCCAAACTTTTCCACAAAGTTTTAGCATTCACCTCTTCTGCAACATGATTAAAAATATTATCATCAATGTACTCGACGAATAAAGGCACAAACTTGTTCATTCTCAAACTTTCAATCCTCATCTGTTTTTGTCTTAGGTTTATCCGAAGCAAAAACGAGTAGATGCCAACTTTTTACATATAAGAGATCTTTCATTTTTCTCTTCCACATGTGATAATTGGTTCCATTCAGACTTATCATTTTAATGTTACTCTCCATATTGTTCAAGCTGAAAGTAAACAACCACGCTCCGATACCACTTGTTAGGCAAAGAAACACAAATAACACAACGGAACCCCTTTGCCCTTGCTTGAACAATCAACCACAGGCTACAACCAAATACCCAAGCCAAACAAGTAACTAATAATCTGAAAAATAAGCAACCAATCACAAAGCACACACAAATTTTTACGTGGAAAACCTCCTCAATTTGAGAACGAAAAAACCACAGGACCGGAGTCCACTATAACTTCCACTATCAACAATAATGGATACAAGGAGTTCTCTCTAGATTAAACTAGATGAATAATCAGCCATAAACATCAAAGGTTACACACCCTTGGCAAACCACATCAAAAGATGATACACAAAGAAAGTAGAAGAAACCAAGTTCAGATTTCACCGTAAAATAGCACTGTTATGAGCATAATATCTCCCTCTCCAGGACTTAAAACCCAATCTCCATCGTCCAGAATGTGCGCCTCCCTCTCTTGAACGTGCCCACCAAATTTGAGCTCGATCCAACGATTAACGAACCCAAAACTCAATTTTAACGTGACCGGTCTATGCTGAAACTTTCTTCCCTCTTTCTCTCCAAAATTGCGGCTCTCACTCCTTGTTTCTCTTCTTTTTCTCTCTTGCTTCTTCTCTAATTTGATTTCAGAATAAAAGAGAAGATAGGGTTTATTTGGAAATACCAAAATTACCCTTTAAGTGATTAATAAAAATCCTTCTCTACATAGGCTTCAAAATTGGACTCATATAGGCAAACCTTTGGACCATCCTCCAATTAGGAGGGAAACCCAACAGTTATGGTGTGATTTGTGAAAAGGAATTAAGGGTTGTTTAGGGGCTCATTGGTCGCTTTCTTTAGCCAAACCCGATGCTTACTATAGAGGAAAAAATAACATGCATTTTGGTCGAGCTTGGAGATGAAAATTCAGCTGAAGTAAAGAGGAGAAGATCACAAAATTTCTTTGATTTGATTAATATTTCAACAAATAAATGGTCAATGGGTGTTTTTAGTTTTCACTGCATTTTCGTACAATATAATATATAAAATACGGAACGAAATTCATAACAAATGAAAACCTCTAAAAGCCCAACCCAACAACCCTCAGCAATATCCCAGCCCAAGTTCCAAAGAAACCCGTCACGCCGTTAAGTTGAAAACTCTCACGCCGTGTGATCCATTTTCAATTTCAAATCAAATCCCCTCTCTTCCCTCTCAACGGCTATTTCTTGCACATTCTCTATTTGTTTTCATCGTATCTAATCTCTCTAAAACAAAATAAAATCACAAGAAACTCTTTACATGGACAAATCTGTTGCAATAGACCCATAACAATAACAACCAGGTACGTCATTCTTTCTTTCTTTCTGGGTTTCTCTTATGTTTGCTTTTTGCAGTGTTAAAAGAATCATTAAGTAGTGAAGTTTATTAATTTCTGAAGTCTTTACTCTTCACATGGTTTTCGTGGTCTTTTGGTTGTTACAAAGCATTTTTACTTAGCCTTTTGTTTCTTTCTTTCCTAGTCTGTCTTATTTTTGTCAGAGACATTAACTTTCTTATAATTTTTTTTTTTTATGCTGGTTCTTACTAGACTAGAAATTTAAGTTAGCCATTGTATAATCTTGAGAGAAAATAATTGAAAATAAGATCTAAAGATTTTTTTTTTCTTCTGGTTTTTCCATGATTTTGAGTATGAGATATGGTCTATTATTGGGTACAAAAGGAAAAACAAATGGGGTCTGTGATTTTTTAAAAATTTTAGTCTCAGTTTAATCTTGGAGAAAAAAAAATTTATGAAAATTGGTGTCTAAATATTTGATTATTGTGGGTTTTATTTGATTTCTTGTAATCAAGAAACAAACTTGTTGACATGGATGCTCTTTTAACTTTATAAACAATGAGAGTACAAATTGTGGTTTATTGCATACAGAAGGGACAAGAAATAGGTTTTGCGAACTTTTAGGATTTTAATCACTTGTTAATAGTGGTGTTTTATATTGTTCATCTGTTTTTAATTAGACCTGGAAGATGAGATGCAATAACCTTTTGGAAAAACAATAGGATCGTAGAAATAATTATGCTCTTAAACAGTATCTAATTTGGTTAGTTGGATTCGAACCTCTAGATATATCTCTATTGGCATAATCGCGCTTAAATCAACTTCAATTTGTTATCTGAAATTGGTTATTGCTTGTGAACAGGTTTGTCCTGTTTCTTTTAAACTTGCAAAGAAATGGAAAGGGTATCTGAAGAGTTAGATGAAGCGAAAGCTGAGATTGAGAAGCTCAAAGCAGATTTGAAACGCAAAGCAGAATTGTCAGACAACTTGAAGAAAGCTCATGGTCAACAGCTTATCCGAACTCAAGAATCGTGTTCTAAGATTGAGAAACAGGCCCAAGAATTAAATGCTAAGGAAGAGGAAATCTCCACGGTGAAGCGAATGTGTGAAGATTTGCAATGCAGCTTGAATGAAAAGGAGTCTGTTATCAGACGTCTAAGCACTGCAAATGATAAGCTTAGAGTTGATTGTGGAGAGAAGTATAAAAAATGGGAGGAGGAGAAAAGGGGGTTAGTGTTGGCACTAGATGAGGCAAATGAGAAGAACATAGATCAAGAGCAAAAGATTCATGTGTTTATGGCAGAGATTGAAGGTCTCAAGGGGGTTCTATCTGCTTCACAAAAGAAATGCTTGGAAGCAGAGAAAAATGCCAAAGCATCCAAAGGGATGAGGGAAAGGGATTCTATGCTATTCAAGTTAGAGGAGGAGAGTAGGAAGGTTGAAAATCAGCTAAAATGGAAGAAAGAGCAGTTCAACCATCTAGAAGAAGCGCATGAAAAGCTCCGAGTGCAGTTCAGGGACAGCAAGAAAGAGTGGGAAATTGAGAAGTCCACATTGATTGATGACATTTGCTCACTACAGACACGCTTAGATTCTCAGACCAGAATCTCAGAAGATCTTGAAAAACAGTTTAAGTGGTGCAATGAAGCCTTGGCTCGTGAAGAAAGCAGGAGAAAGTATCTGGAAGTTGAGTTTTCTGAATTTAAGGCACGCTTTGAAAATGTTTTCACTGAGTGTCAGGATGCAAAGTCAAGACTAGAAGGCTTGGCCACTCAGAGGGACGAAGAAATTGCGGCCCTGAGACATTCTTTGGTTACAAAGGAGACATTTTACAAAGAAATTGAGTACAAAGCAGGGAAAATGGAGCAAGAAAATCAGGAGTTGCTGGCGTCACTCAAAGAACTTCAGGAGGCTGGGATTCGGGAACTGGGAAATTCTTCTTCTTTGGCAAAAATGAGAAACAAGCTCAAGAGTTTGGAGCAGGTGCACAGAAATTGCTCTGTAAATCTTAGAGCTAAAGAAGCTGAATGGAGCTCTCAACTGGAGAAATTGACTGAAGAGCTGGATAATTACAGGTCTGCACTAGAGAGCAAAGAAACAGCAGTAAAAGAGCTTCAGATGGAATTGGAAAATTGTCACTCTGTGACAATGCAGTTGAAGTTGCAGAATGAGGAGGCTTCAACAATGCTACTCGTGTTGAAATCAGGAATAATTGAGGCTCAATTGAACATTGGGAATGCTGAGACTGAGGCGAGGCTCCGTGACAAAGAAAGAGGTGAAGATGTCTCTCTCTTGATGAGGCAGCTGGAGACAAAGAACAGTGCTTTGACTAAAGCAATAACAGATTGCGAGGAGGAACGTCAAAAGGTTGCATCTTTATTGAAGAGAGTTGAGGACCTGGATCTTGTCAAAGAGCAGCAATTGATGATGCAGAAAGAGCTTGAGAGGTACAAAGAATTGCTTGAGGAATCATCCAGGTGTCAAATTCGCTTCAAGAAGGACGCTTTGCAGACAGAAAGTGAATTGAAAGATAACCTTAAGGCAGTTTGTGATGCCTTGGACGTGGCAAACACAGAATTAGCCAAAGAACATGAGAAGGTAGTATCTTTGTCAAGGAGAGCCGAGTCCTTGGATCTTTTAGAGGAGAAGTGGCTCTTGATGCAGAAAGAGTTGGAGAAGTGCAATAAAGTGCTTGAGGAATCATCTAGGCGTCAACATCGCCTAGAAGAACAAGCTTTCCAGATCGAAAACGAGTTGAGAAAGAAATTTGGAGAAGTTGGCGATGCATTCGACATGGCCAGTTCTGAATTGGCAGAACATCGTGAGAAGGTAGAATGTTTTTCTAGGAGGGTTGAGCACCTAGATCTTGTTGAAGAGCAACGACTTCTGATGCAGAAAGAGCTTGAGATGTATAAGGAAATGGTAGAAGAATCATCGAGGAAGCAGCTTCTAGTAGAAATGAAAGCTTTGGATGTGGAAACTGACTTAAAGGACAAACTAAGAGAAGTTTCTGATGCATTGGACACTGCAAAGGCTGAATTGGCTAAAGAAAATGAGAATGCCGCATCTTTGTTGAGAAGAGTTCAGTCTCTAGATCTTATTGAACAGCAGCATCTCCTGATGCAAAAAGAAATCGAAAAATACAAGGAAATGCTTGAGGAGTCATCCAGGTGCAAACATACCTTGGAAAAGCAAGCTTTCCAGAAGGAAAAAGAGTTGAAAGAGAAACTTCAAGAAGCAAGTGATGCATTACACATGTTGAAATCTGATTTTGCGGCTCAAATTTATGAAGGACATGCTGTGGAATTTGAATTGTGGATATGGAAATCGATTGCTCATCGTTTAAAAGAAGATCTCGAAGAAAGCAGGTTGTTGCGAAAAGACATAGAAGCTTCTCTTCTTTCCCAAGTAGAAGTTGAGGAAACTATCAAGCAGGAGAAAGCTGACCTCGTCCGCATGTTACAAGTAAGGGACAGTAGAATAGATAACCTGCAGCAGCAGGTTGAATTCATTGAGAAAGAACTTAAAACAAGAGACTCAGCATCTGCCACTTCTGCAATGGAGATAATAATGTCCTTTGAGTCAGAGAAAGAAGGTTTTCTACGAACCATGAAAGAGAAGGACAAATTGTTAGATGATCTGCAGAAAGAGGTTGGGTGGCTGGAGCAAGAATCATTGAAAAGAGAACTTGAAGATGCTGTGTTGACTCTAATGGAGGCAGAAAGAAAATTCGACCATGAAAAAGAACATATTATCCAGCTTGTGGAAGAGAAAGATCAAAGAATGCAGGACCTCTTGCAGCTTGTGAAGTCAATGGAACAAAAATTTAATGGCTCATTGACCTCTTTCTCTATGGAGATTGCTGAGAAGCAGGCTGAGATTCGTTTGGTCCACGAGGCTTGGGAAAAGATTGCTTCAGCTGAGATTCTAGCCCAACTGGAAATTGAAGAGAAGAAAATGATGATATTAGAGCTGGAGGAGGACATCTTTTCTATAAAAGAGAGACTGGAATTGCAGGAAAAATCACTCTCGGATGCGAAACAGAAGGCACGAGAAATTGAAGCTGAACTAGCAGCAAAACACGTTGAAATGAAGAAATTAGAGAGTCTAATGGAGACAAAGCTGAGAACATCAGAAGCCTCAGTGGATGAGCTAAAAAACGGGAACAGAAGTGTGGCTGAAAACGTCATGAAGTTGTCATCCCGAAGGGACAATTTGTTTGGCTTGCTCGAGGAACTTGGTGAGAGAATTAGCCAGTTCTCCGATGAAGACAAGCAATTGATGGGAACCTTGGAAAGCATGGTGCAGTCATTTGATGATAGTGGATCCGGTCCCATCTCGAAGAGTGATAGCGAGCTTTTCAAGGCTGTGAAAGAGAATGTCAATACTTGTCCTTCACCTACAACAAAGAGATTTCAGTCTGTTCTTGAGGACAGATCGCCATTTAGAGAGCTCAACTAGCTATGACTGTGAAAGGTGCTGCTATATATAGATTGCAATATGTTAGGGTGATTCTTTGTTTAACATGTCTTGCTGATTGTTAGTTAGGCACGGATTGTGCTTGCTATGTATATGATGCACGTTTAAGCTATTATTTGTTGTGCTAAGAGAATCTGCCACAAATTCAGATTGATTTAACATTTCCTACGCGCTACCACTGTAGCTTTATCTTGGCATTTTTACTTGATATATTGTTATACAGAAGAAATGCTTTTAGATGAGATGCAATACCCGAATGTCAAGTGGCTTGTGTGCACTTGTCCTTTGTTATGTTGATAGTTCAGGGGGAATTTCCCAGTTTTATTGTGATTTCTAATTTTTAAGAATAAATAGATGTACTCGTTCCCACTTTTAAGAATGATTAGATCTCTAAACCCACCAAAATTAAAAAGAAATTAAGTTTGCAAAGTCAAACAATAATTGAAGCTTTGACTTCTATTACATGCAACAATCGTTCTCAAGTTCCCATAAATTCAGCCTCAAACTGTTCATGCTTGCTGCTTGTGATCAATCCACTTCCACATCTCCCATCCCCAACTCTATAACGTTTGATTAACAATGAAAAAAAAATTGATGATAACAGAAGTAAATTTTTTTGTAAAGCCAAGCTTGCTACTCCTCGTCTAGTTCAGACTTGAGAAAACATAATCTGAAATTTTCAATTGAAAAGTACGCACGCTAGCGAAAATGCCAGCTCTAGCTACTTAGCTCATACCCACATATAGATCGTGGAAACATACATTTATCAGATTAAAACAGTGTCCTATCCCGTGAGCATTCGGCTTCATAGATTAAGATAAGAAAAAGCAAGTCAATGCATAGCCTTGTCTTGGTAGATAACTGTTATATAAATGTCAAAAATGTACTACATATGCCTAACCACTCCAGAGTCTACAGCAATTACTCTAATCATGGCAGAGCTCTTCCCAGAGATAGAATCGCAGTCCATTCCTGGTGAGCAATTACCCAAATCACCTTTCTGCCTTCCCACTCCAGTGCAAATTATGCCATGCATGCAGAATATCAAATATCGTTGGCCCAACAATCCTCTCCATTTCTTTATTTAGAAGGGGCAAAATTCATGTGCAGAAAAAAAAAAAGGACAAGCAAATCCAGAACAATATTAATCTTGGACCTCTAACACAGATTCCTCTGTTTTCACCAACAAAAGCAAAGCATCAATGGCTAAGATGTAACAGTCAATATCAACCACCTATACTCCCACTCAACTCCAATTAGAAAACAAAGTAAATACCCACTTCCACGCATCCCATTTCAACAATTATTTTTTAAAAAAATAAGACGATGAAGCAATCAGTAGCAGACAAGTAGAGAAGAGGCACAAGGATAAGATTCAAATCGTGCATTAATTGTTTAAGGAAAAAAATCTTTCCACCATTACATGAGCGCAAAGATGATGATCAATTTATATTCACATCACTAACATTAAAACCCTAACAACTAAAACTACCCTTACATGAACACGAGGACTCAATCCTAAAAATCAAAGAAAACTTAAAACTAAAAGACTTAATATCGTAGTGAAATCGTAGTAACAGAAAATAGACTTGTTGACTCCTTTAAATCTCTTCCCTTCAAATCTAACTGTCATCGTCAGCAGAGGCCTTAGAGGAGCCACCGGCCTTCTTTGGTAGGAGAAGGTTGTGGATGTTAGGCATGACACCTCCATTAGCAATTGTAACATCACCAAGAAGCTTGCTCAGTTCCTCATCGTTCCTCACTGCTAACTGGATGTGGCGTGGCACAATACGAGTCTTCTTATTGTCTCTTGCGGCATTTCCAGCCAACTCAAGCACCTGACAGCACAAATACCACAAACCCATCAAACACAGAATCAATTGATAACATTGAAAATAAATGAGTAACTAATTATGTCCAATTTTTTTTTATATATTTAAAACAGAAAGTTCAAAAGACTTTAGGGAAATTAAAACCCGAAATTTATAAACAAATTAACACAAAGCACAGTTCAATTACACGAGCCAATTACAAGCCTAAACCCAATTTTCACAAATTAGGAAGAAAAAAATAAGTTAAAAAGCTTGTAAACCCCAAATTGGACTTGTAAGAAAGCTCAAACCCTAGATTCAAAAAACCAAGATCAAACCACCAAACAAAATTAGTAGTTTTGCAACTGCCACCACTTCAAGAACACAATTAAAACCATAATTTCCAAGGAAAATATCCTAATTCCGAGGAAAAAAAAACAATCAAAATCACCCAAATTAAAGAACCCTAGATCCAAAAATTGAAATCCACACAAAAGCATAGCCAAAACACTTCGAAGATACAAAATCAAATAGAGATAGAGGCATTATTACCTCAGCAGCAAGATATTCAAGAACAGCGGCGAGGTAGACAGGAGCGCCGGCACCAACACGCTCAGCATACTTGCCGGCCTTCAAGAACCTAGCAATACGACCGACGGGAAACTGCAAACCAGCCTTACTACTCCTTGAAGTAGCCTTCTTTGAGGCTCCAGATCCTAGGGTTTTCCCCCTACCAGCCATTGATTGATTCTTTTCGAACAAAAAATCGAAACAAAATGTAGAGAGAGAAACGGCCTCGCTTTATGTAGAGGGAAAATGCTGAGAGAGAAGAATTGTGAAGCAAAGAACTGAAAGTTTAGGTTTATATAGGAAAAGGCAAAATGAGGTTGGCCAATGTGAGTGGAGTACGCGGATCAAGATACGTGACCGTTGGATTGGATACAAAAGAACGGTAGAGATTTCGTTAACCGCTTGGTTTTGTTTCGGGAAATTTTCGTTGGGATTGGTGAATTGACTTGAATGGGTTTTGAATTTTGAGGGGTTTTGAAAATTTCATCCTCGCCCTACGATTGTTTTTGTCCGGTTTGTGAATATGTGTGCAAAAGAACAACGACAAGTTCGCAGGAAAAAATGAACTGCTTGTTGTGGGCTTGGCCTGAGAGAATATGCCCTATGGGCCTTACTTGGTCCTAGTTTAAGGCTGTAGATTTGTAATTTGGGGTTTACATAAATGGTTTGGGTTTGTTTGGATTCATAATAGAATCGTTTGGGCTGAAAATGGTTGATGGAATGGGCATGATTTTTGCTTGAATTCTAGGTGTGAGTAAAGCATGGTCATGAACAAAGAACAAAAGAAAATAATATGATAGTGTGTGAACTTGTTAATGGGACAGATTGTCCCGATTATTTCCTTCCATGAAGCTAAATTTTCAAGGCTATTAAGAGGATCACCAAAACTTGTAGCATCGGCTACTCTGTGGAAGTATATTCATTTATAAGAATGGTAGACATCAAGGACAAGCCTCTTGTTCATTAACGCTTTCATTTCCATAGCCAACCATGTGCAAAGCATAATATGCCACCAACGGATAAAAAATGATTGCGCAAGATAGAGCATGACCCTCTAGATTTGGAAATTTCTTACGTAACATGTTTTAATACAATTTTTATGAAGTGATTTCTTTCAAATATATGATCATGTTAATATTTTTTTTTCCTTCGATAGTCTTGACTTATAGCATTATTATATTAGAATTCAAATGATTAAATATTCATTTGACTATCACCTAAACAAGAAAAGAAAACCATTTATTAATATTGTTCTTTAATTTTATCGTCTTTTCTATCTAATTCAATGCAAAAAATTTTTTATTAAACTTATTTGATTTTATATTTTTGAATTGTATAACATTTTGCATTTTTTTTTATAAAATTGATGGATAAAAATGTTATTTTAATATATTTTCTTATACATGAGTTGTTAAAATATATTTCATATTGAAGTAATATATCAAGTGTAGTAAATATTTTTTTTCTTTTACAAACTAAATGACAAATCCGATAGAATTTTGAATCTGATCTAAATCTAAATCGACATTTTCAAAATTTGATGTAATTTATAAAATTTAATTTAAATCTACTATGATTCTATCTAAATTCCATAAATTTACTTTCTCGGGTTTTTAATATTCACCCTAGTTTAAGGCCTCACTCACAAATCTTATACTCATTTACATTCTTCTAAAATCCCTAAGGTTTTGAAATACTATATATCTATAGAAATTCACTTCATACTTACCCTTATACCTAAAGTAGTTGATTCAATTTGCCTTTCTTATCAAAGTATCAAATTTTTTTGTTATTTTGATAGATAAGAAAGTAGACAAAGAGTACGTAAACCGATCTCATAAGAACTTAATTTTCTCTTCCTTTTACACCAAATAGGTATATAACTTCCATTCACAAATAGAAACTTTTCCGTTATTTTAATTTTAATTGATTTATTTACGGAGTTTACCTCATATTTGGTCCTTGTACAATTTGAATTTTTTTGATTGAGACCCTAAGAAAAAGATGAAATTGCTCCCACCCCTATTATCTCCTTTGTTGGAATTCAACCATCCAAAAAAATCAAAATCCCGCTAAACCAATCGAACCCGACACCAAGCTGCCTAAACACCATTACCGTGGCGACCTTAACCTAATTACTTACAAAAACTTCATATAACTTAGCTATTTTAGTTATAGAAAACTCAATTAATCACAAAATATCACTTAGGAATGTTAAAACCTCACATTAGAAAGATTAGGATTTTTTTTTATAGATAGCAGGTTACACGACCTCCCACACGCCGTATACTTGCCCGTGTAATTTAAAATCTCATCTTCCCTTGAAAACGAAGGTTACACGACCTCCCACACGCCCATGTACCTTTCCGTGTATGTTTCCGTCCAAAAAGAGGATAATTCTTCAAAAATAGAAGGTTACACGCCCTCCCACATGGCCATGTACCTTTCGTGTACGTTTCGTCCAAAACAAGGGTTTTTCATCCATAACACTTCAAAACCTAATAAAAACCATTCTTTTCACTTATAACCCTTGGATATTCAATCAAAACCGCTTTTTCTTTATTCATAATCACGTCATAAAACATATCCAGGAGTTCATATTTACACATTTACATATACAATTCAAAAATCTCCTAAGATGCATATGCTCGGCATAATGAGAGAGAGGAGAGGGAGATCGCGAGTCGACTCGTCACTCATAACATGAATTGAACAACAAAAGATGACTTTAACTTCCACTTCTTACTTCTTAGCACCTAAAAAGATAATTGCATTTTTAATGAGATGCTACTCAATGAGGGATATAATCTTGGTGCTCTAACACACATATATACATTTTCACATCATTAACCAAAAGCAGATTCATGACACAAACATAAGTATTTATATAATTCATACATGTTCATATATCAAAATGCTTGTATGTATTCTTTTCTTGTCGATTATAACCAAAACACGTCAAGTATCGCCCCGAAACTTGTAACATATAACTTATAAGCTTATAAGCTTATAACTTGTAAACTTGTATGGTTGGCCAGCTTATATACTTGTATTTGACCAATTGGGTCCTTGTAACTTGTATTTGCGATTACTTGGACATGGCGGTCATAACCTTACCCTTTTATCTTTCATACGTCATGGATGCCCTATATAACTTGTACTTATACATAATAACATTCATGGCTCATAGCATGAATCATCAACACATGCTTGCATATAGCACTTTCATAGAATTAAAACATAATTCATACACAAACATTGGTTAATCATATCATTCGGAAAAGTCAATAACATCACATGGCAACATAAACACATAGTATCAATCAATTATATCCACTCATAAAAATGACGTCTTCGTCGTTTATCAATGCATCGCGTCTTGCACCTCACGTTTTTGGACGTCTATAAACACATACACATATACTTTTATAAGTCATTTTATCATGATCAAACTTCTAAATATGCTCAAGGTGCAAAATATGACTTTAGGGTTAACTTATTTCTTTATGGGTACTTGACCCCTTCACATTCTTTCTACCATAAGTCCCAAATTACATATTCAAATGATACAATTCCAGTTCCATATGAAACTACACTCATAGGGCTCTAACATATCCAAAAATAAAGTCTAGGTATGAGATACACAACTCATGGTGATTTTCCAAAAATCAGACTTGCTGCAGGATTCATCGAAAATCCAAACAGACTTACTTGCAAGGGACAAAACAGAGGATATACTCGGTTATCTTAAGCTTAAATTTAATAGGGTACTATTTTAAGATATTATCTACAACTTTCATGTTTTACCCTTCTTCAAAATCGGACTCTAAAATCTCGAATTAAGCAATATAAAAACATTATTACAAGAGATACATACCTAGCTTTCGACTTGCTTTGGAAAAACTATGGTTTTTCCCTTCTTTTTCCCTTTTCTTTTCTCTCTCTCTCGGTTCACTCCCATTTTCCCAGCTAGGGATTGCAAAATGAAGATGAAGAGAGTACTTGAGATATATATATATATATATATATATATATATATATATATATATATATATATATATATATATATATATATATATATATATATATCTTGACAAAGTTCATTTTGGTCCCTCAATGTGTGGCTTGTTTTTATTCTAGTTCTCCAACTTATATTACTGCGATTGAGCTCCTATTTCTTCCTATTATTCAAAATACTTATTATCCAATACCCCACTAACATGTCATATGTAGGTATAATTATATACGTGTAATTCATAAGTGTGCATATATGCATGAACAATGTATGTTTTTGAGACGAGGTTATTATAATTACCGTCATCTATGGTAACCATTCCTCTTCTAACACCTACAGGTCTATAATCATTATCATCTTTCTACAAAGACCGACCCTTCCCTCATTGTCATGATCCGATAGCCATCATCATCTTGTATAATAAACCAACCACTCAAACTTTCCTTCATCTTAAATTCAAAAATTTATATCACCCAAACCAATCAAACCTAACACCATCAACAACCTTTTCACTAGCCAACTCTCTTGTTTCTTGGCCTCGAGCAGTGATCTACAGATCACAATAGTATCTCTTCATGATGGCAACACCATCATAGCCTTGGCTATAAGTAAGAAGAGGTGTGTGTTAATATAAGTGCCTAAGATGTAACTTGTTTGGATGGTTTGAATATTGTATTATTACATATCTATTAATAAAAAAAATTATTAATTGATGTTATTTATAACTTGATAGAATTAGATAGAAGTCCATATGATATTCATTACCTTGATGATTGATCAATAGATGTGAGACAAATACTAATGAGTTTAAATGATATCATTAAATATCTCAAGTCATAGTATTGTCAAAATTAGACATTGAAAATATACGAGTAAGACTTGTATGTGCTATGCTTTTACTAAAAGATAACGAGTAGGAGATCTCACACATACCGACATGTTGATGTCAAAGCAAATACATAGGTGAATAATGTTAGAGAACATATCAATAAACGTGACTCTCCAAGAGAACTCATTTGATTTTAGTCTATGAGAATCTCACTGGACGTGACTCGACCTAGTTTTTGAGAATGTATACTTGTACTTTTTTCTTAAATAGGACGTGTGTCTCATGTCTTCTCTATTATTCTAATGTACCTTCCTTCTCACTTACTCC